AAAAACAGTCAATAAATACATTAAAAATATAAAAAGCAAAATAAAACAGAGAATAAAAAGACGTTAAAAATAAGGGAGCCACCTCACTACTTCCCCAATCATTTAGCAATACTAACAAAATTCACTGACTTCTGGGTCAGTGAATACATACATCAGAAGGAGGACCTGACAGACTTACATAAATATTTGTTGTTCCAGTAACTAACAAGCAACATCTAATGCAGTGTTTCTCAACCTTGGCAACTTTAAGATGTGTGGGCTTCAACTCCCAGAATTCCCCAGCCAGCACAGGGAATTGAATGCAAAGTATGACTTTTACGGGCTCTCCCTGCCTCCCTCCTAAGAACTAGAAGAAAAAGAAAAATCACCGTCTTCAATTCTTATTAAAGTTCTTTGAAGATTTAATCCTTTGTCTTTTTCTGCTCTCTTTTTCCCAGGAGCATGGCCTGTACTTATCGATGACTTTGTGGAATTTGCACGACCTCAGATTGCTGGAGTAAAAAGTACGACAGTGTAGTGCTAAATGAACTTTCTAAAATGTACCTAGTCTGTACAAATAAACATAATGGGGAAAAATTGCAGTCACTTTCTGCCAATTGACTGGACTGGACTGAAGACCAATCCTCAAGAGATAAAAGCTGAGGGTTGCAGCAAACCTGTAAGGATATACCTTGGACCATATCTGACTACGGTGGCTTGGGCTTCTCTCCTAGCCTGGCTGCCCTAACCCCTTTGGAAACTCCAGCATTGTGGATATCATCTTCCCCCCCCCCTTTTTTTAATGGAGCCTCCTAATTCTTTCCATAGATCTTACATGTTTTTGGATGACTGTTTTGACATTTCTGGTTCCACCTAAAGTATATTCTGTTTTCACCAAGCAAACTCTTTGGTATTACTGTTTCACAGTTCAATATCACAATCCGCTTGTCTTATTTTTGAAAACAGAAAAAAAGTATCTTCAGCTAACATATTTTGGGGATATCTGCAAAGACTGCTGAGACTATCCTAAAACAGTGTGTTTGGATCCATTTTTCGAATGGCCAATTTACAGCTATTGTCAGTGTGAGTGGCAAGGACTCGTTGTTTGGTTGTGTGGTTGAAAGCAGATGTCGAAATATCCCAGCAAAGGCCTGGATTTTTGTCCCTCTCTGGAACAGGCTTGCCAGCTGTATTGGTGCTGGAGTCAGTGCTATTGAAACATAGGTCAGTTATTGACTCTGCAGTATCCTTAATGTCAGAAATATTGGGTGCCTAATGTTGACAGAGGAAGCTTCCATTAGCATCCCGCTTCTGCTTATGGGTGGTTTTTCTTGCCGACTAGCACACCAGCCTTGGCCACCTTGTTTCTGCACAATACTGTGTGTGCAGCATCAGAGGGAAGAAGGCTGGAGTGCCTGCATTCATCTGGCCTAGTGACCGCCGGTAGCTTCCCTGGTAACTTAATTGGGTAGCACTGTCTTTCGGGCAGGTACGGGCAGCAGCTTCTGAGAACTGGCCAATTTCCTCAAAGTGAGAGAACCCATCCACATAACTGCTATTCTGTCTCTCTCTTTTTTTTTTATTCAGACTGGTTTAAGTTAGAGAAAGCGCATTACCAAGCATTGCTGTTCCTAAGTTTCAATAGGCTAGGGTTTGCACAGTAAGGACCAGTGGGTATTCTAATGTGGGAATAACGAATTACTCACAATTGCTGTTAGAATTACCCAGTAAAATATTATTAGTCTTGAAATGCTCATCTGGTCAAGGCCCTCTCTCCCTCCCCCAACCACTAAGTTCTACTGAATTGTTAAGATTTGAATGCAATACTGAACTTGTAATACTTGTTACGTCTTACAGAATTCTTGATTAGGGCCAAGGAAGGTTTTCGGTTGGGTTTTTTAAATAACAATAAATGTAATGCATATTTATGTGAGGCTGGCATAAGCTAAAACACTTGAATATTAATGGAACTGCCATGAGTGATCCTTCACCTGTGATGGTGACTTTTTTCTTATTTTACAACTGCAGTTCACTTGTTGTCAAGCAGAGACATCAGCACCCAGAACAAACATTTTCTGTGGGCCTATGTAACCTTCCCCAGCCTGATGCCTGCAGATATTTAGAATTTCAAATTTGACAGTGGGAGTAGGTGGTTTGCATGTCTGCAGGCCTCCAGACTAGGGAAGGGTGTTTGATAGCAGTTGCATGAACAGGAGACCCTGCACCTATACTCGCATTGACCACACCGGGCTCCGTGTGTGGAATAACTATTAACCAACTGGAGTTCCTGCTTAAGTGAAGCCCTGTAGATCATCTGTATTTTCCATGCAAGTCCAAATTGTATCAAACATGATCCAGCCAAATTGGTTCAGCACTTTTAATGGAAGAGGCATAGCTTTTTTACTTGATTCTGCCATTGTATGCAGTGGAGAGTGACTTTGTGCTTTGCTATGGCTGGATCATAACTGAGGCTAATGCAAGTGTAACATTTCTAGTGATAAAGAATCAAGATGGTCCATATGGGTGCCAGCAAGTGGGGGGGCAGGTGACAATGTGTGTGATGATGTAATCATGCCAGTGCAGCAACTTGCACCAGACGAGCAAATAATTGTGGCATTGGCATAATAACATCATGACACACATACAATTTAGCCATCGTGGCAGTTTGCTGCAGATGCCACTGAGTGCCCCATAGGCTTATGTGATCCTTTCCCACCTGTATAAATTTCCCTTCCCTTCCCTTCTCCAGCATAAGGCATATTTAGCTTTGAATTTCACTGAAGATCAATGCCAACAAATGGTTAGTTTAAACCAGAATATGAACCTTAGGTAAGGAGCTAGTTTGCAGATTGTAATGACTGTAAAGTTAACAGTTTTGAAACAGTTGTGCTGAAATTGAAAGGGAAAGAATTTACACAGGTGAGAGAGGTAGGAGATCCAGCATTTCGAAGTTTTTCAATCATGATGAGAGATTGAAAATCCTACATCCAGTGGTCCCATTGTTTGGTTTGCCACTTTTTCTGTCCAACCCACAGACTTTTTTTTCTTCTTTACTTGATGCTTGTGGTTTTATTCCTTGTGTTTTTATGTGACAGCAGCACTTGAAATACCTCCTGGCTTTTAATCAGTTAACACCATGAGCAATATTTTGCTCTTTTCTTTAAATAATCATTTGATAGAGAAAACAGTATCAGAAACTTTGCATTCAAGGTATTTAAAACTCCTTTGTAATATTTTAGAATGAGAAGTGCAAGTTTGAAATAGTTCATGTTTTCTTGCTAACATCTCATATATCCATGACATTAAAATGCACTTTTATGCACATGTTAAAATAATATGAGGAAAAATGTTGAGCATTGCTTAATTTTTTAAAAACTATTGTCAGGATCCTGCCACCCCTTCAGTGCCCTTTTGGAAGTTTAAAGAAACCATTGGATAAATTTGGAAATCTTCTAGCTGCTGGAATTGGCAAAGTCAAGTATATTATTTACGCTTTCATTGTTTCTTCTCTTGTGTAAATATCAGCGAAGACTTGAATTATGAAAACTCTACAAAGTGTGCGTGTGCTGTTTTCTGTCTTAAAATTTGGGTACAGCTTTCTCAGAATGAGTCATTGATGTATGCTGTGTACATTTTGTGTTTTAGTGTTTTTTTTTTTTTAAATTTTAATGAGATGTACTGAATTCTATCCCTGTGCTGAAGATTAGGGCATAAATGCCATGCTGTTCTTGTTTTTTAAGATTATTCCTTTTGCAATGTTGAGGCCTTTTCAACAAAATGGAATTTGCCATCAGTTTGGTACTACACAATTTATAATTACTGTGTAATTATAAAACTGCATTACATAAAGCATTGCTGTCTTAAGTAGCAGAGAAACTAAGGTTATTTGTGTGATAGCATATTTGAATTTTAAGAAGTGGTTTAAATCCAGAGGCAAAAATTGGTAACCTGCTTTTCAGTGGGATGTGTGCTGTCAAAGTGGTGCTAGGGTTCGACTGTGTTTAGTGGCAGAATATTTGGCTTAATGATTTGTTTCTGAATGTAAATGCCTGGCTCTAGCCAAGACTAAAAATGTTCAGACATATCCCCTATGTATGTGTGCATGATTTTTTTTTAAAGTTTAAAAATGTAAAATGAATTTCTACTTGGGTTGATTTTATTAATAAAAACAACCCATACATGGATCTAGCAGTAACTTGAGCCTTCATAAATCATTTTCCTTTTGCCAAATACTAGACAAGCAGTGAATGCTTAACCTAACCTACTGTTTGGGTGTTATTCTAGTATGTAAGACTAGATCTTTTCAGCCATACAGATCTCTTGGTAATTTTATTTCAGTCATGTGATCAACATTTTTCAGTAATTTGAATTTAACTACTTAGAAACAACTTTTCTGCAATCCAGAGGCAATAAACTACTAGCCCAGTTGTCATGGCAAAACCTCCTCGTGAATTATGCCATTGAAGAAGAAGCAAAAAATTATTTGTTTCTTGATTATTTTTATTTTAAAAAATCATGATGAGGAAAGGAATAAGAGAATATTGCAAACAGCATTGTGCTTGCCATATAAAATATAGATTATGGCTGCACAATGGAGGGTTTCTTTTTCCCAAACACAGTTTGAAGTTTCTAATTTGTGGGGTGAGAAAAAAGTGGTACCTTGATGTTTTTATTTGGTTGGTCCAAAGCTATGAATTGTGAACCTG